CACAGCGCAGATGATCTTGGAGGTAGCCATGGTTGTCGACCAGGGACTTAGAGGGAAGCGGCTGTGTCTTGAGACGTGTGGGAGGCTTTGCTGTCTTTGCTTCAGTGCTCTGAAAAGCTTCAGGCTGATAGCGGTGTTCTCCGCCCACAGGGCTAGTGCAGGGTCAGACACTGATATGTCGTGGACATTTATGGCAGTCATGATTCGAAGGGGGCCTGAGTCTGAGTCAGGTGCCTGCAATGAGCAGAGGAAAGGGTCCAGGGTCTTGCTGCTTGGAGAACGAGGTCCATCGACCAGCGTGGGAGTCCCGTTCTCTGTTGCACGAGGGTGTGTTGCACTCTTTGTGTAGTGGCTTGGCATGGTCTTGATGTTGGGCACCCTCTAGAGCCAGCTCCTGACTTTGAGTGTTGAAGTCAAGAAGTGCTGTGGATTTGGCGCCCTTTTCTGAGGCCATCTTTTGTTTGCCGTAGGCTTTATGCACCAAGTCTCGCAACTGCTGAGCATTCATTGTTCATGGACATGCGAGAACGCCAAGATGGTGTTTCTCTTCCTGAGAAACCTCCAGGAGGTTTCTCAGGAAGAGAGTTTTGAAGTTCAGATCATCTTCCATGTTCGGTTCGTTGCGAGTTCCGAAGTATGCTCGTCTGAGTCGGCTGTAGTAGGCTTGAGGAGATTCATGACGACCTTGTTTGTCTCCAGGGCAGCCACTAGTCCTTGTTCTGACTCAGGGTTAGCGAATTCTTTAATGAGGGCTTCTCGGAGCAGGTGGTAATCAGTTTTCTTTTAGCTTTGTCGTGAGGTAAAGTTCTTCAGAGGAAGCTGGTGAATGTTTCAGCACTGCCCACTCCCCCTTTTGCTCACGCGTCAGTCGAGGAACAGGTGACCCGGTCCTGCTTGGCAGGGGTTAGACTGGTGCCTGTCGTGTCTTTGTAGGTTCAGGGTGCAGCTCGTAGGCATGTCTGAGTTCCTCTCTGATGCTGTCGGACTTCTCTTTGATGTAGTCCAGCTGTTGTGTTAGGCGACTGATCTAATTTCTTGACTCATCCAGGTGAGTTTCAAGGGCTTTAATTAGGCCGTTCTTGTATGCTTCTAAACCGGTGTTTGGAAATGGGGATTTCTAAATACCAGGACTGTGATTGTTATTAAAATTCCTCCGGGTGAAGGAAAAACAATAAAAATGACAGTATTGGTTTCTTAGCTGTAAGATTGACACCATACACCAATTAAATCGTTTCTAGATAAGTGTTCAATTTTTGGCGGACGCCTATCAGTCCTCTGGTTGACCTGTTTTAGCCTTAGCTGGGTAGGGTTTCACAAGAGAGTGGAAGGTAAATGGAAGACAATTTTGAACCGACGTTCTCAAGTTTCACAAATACCTGTTCAATTGATAAAGTTCTCTGCTTTATGATTTTCACAAGCAAAATCCCAGCAAACAGCCGCAGTAGTCAACTCAGAAGAAAACAGCTGAGAGAGAGAAGAAGAAG